CTCATAGCCTTCTGTGATTAAAATATCAGGGTGGGAAAGGGGAGGGAGCTGTGCAGATGTGGCTGCAGCCGTGCGCTTCCAGGTCTGCTGGAGCTGAATGTCGCTGCACCGCCGCATCCCTCCCAGTTCCTTCTCTGCGATTCCCAAGCTGTGTCTCTCTGTTCTTGGAGTGCAAATGGACCAAGCTCAGGGATTGAGTTCCGTCACAGGAGCAGGGGTGCCCAGAGCTTTGGCTTGGCAGGGTCTGGAGGATGCTGTTGGTGTGAGCATCAGGTAGTGATGGGTGCAAGGCTGAGCCACAGCGTGGTGAAAACAAATGTGTTTGCTCAGAAATGCCCCACAGCTGGTGGGGCACAGCCCCTCTGCAGGTGTCAGCACTGAACGTGCTCATGGGCCTGACTTGCAGTGTGCAGCCTCAGCCCAGCCCTGCTGCTGCACCGCCTCCTGCCGCCCCTGCGCAGGCACTGAGGGCATCGCTGCATCCATCCTGGTCCGCCTTCCCCTGCCTTCCAGATCTCCTCCTCTTGTTCCTCCCTGCTTGGTTGGTGCCAAACCCGGCTGACCAAGCAGAGTCCGTGGCATGGGAGCACTGTGCCACATGCATGGCCACGCAGAGCCCTCTGCCACTCCGTTATTCCTCAGTGTTACATAAATCCACTTTTATACCCAACCTGTGGACGTCACCGGAGCTCTGTCCATACCCATAACATCATTGTTTCCATGGGAACCAGCGTACTTCCAAGGGGGAAAAAGTAGGAGACTAAAAAAAGGACAAAGAAGGAACAAAATAAGACAAATATGTGACATATCCCAACGACGTGTTGGTGTAGGATGTTGTAAAGGTTTCACCGTGACTTGTTTAGGGAGCATTGCATAACGGTTTTGTCTTGGGTAATGCAGCAAGCTGGATCAGGGATGGTGTATCCCAAGCATCCCAGTGTGGATGTGGCAGGGAGCCCTGCTGTGGGGACAGCTCTGATTTGTGGTCTCTTGCTCACAAGTGGGCAGCAATGGGGCTTTGCACTGCGGATCTTTCCCAAGAGAGCAGCGGCGCTCTCTGCATGCTGCATTTCTCAGGGGCGTTGAGGGCATTTCTAAGGGACAGTGCATTTAAATATGTGTATGTCTGGGGGTTGTGTGTATCCGCTGTGCACTTCTTAAGGGCTGCTGGGAGAAGCCTTAAGAATATCATGGCGCACAAGGATGGCTTTGGTGCGTGGTGTGAGCTGTAAGTGTTTGTGTTGATTTGCTGTTCAAGCCAACATTGTGCCCAATGGCACACGCTGGTCCTCAGGGCTTCCCAGTGGGGTAGCACAGCTCCTGCCCATGCAGTCCCAGCTGTGGGAGGGTCACCTGTTCCACGCTGTCACCAGATGTGAAAACAGCGATGGGAGCGGAGGGGGAGCAAGGTTGGGTGTTTCTGCTTGGCTTTCCCATGCTCGCCCATGGGGTGAGGAGGAGGAGCAGGGCTGAATTCATGCTATGAGGCTCTGGCCGGAGATTTGATTCTATTAATTGGTTTTCTAACAAAACAGTCCCCATATCAGTGCCAGCCCCTGGGCTGCCACCCCCCTGGGAGCTCATGGAGGGGAGATGTAGGGCTGTGCTTAAAAGCTCCAGCTCCCAAAGTTTGGGGATTATGCAAGGCACTCAGCTTGCTGCGCTCTTTTATCTTCATTTTCTCCTCTGTAAGCAGTAAGATTTTAAACCCTTCTGGTTACTGGAGAAAAGCTTGACGTACAAATCTAAAAGGCAAAGGAGGAACAATTCTGAAACAGTGAGGGAAATTAGAGCCTTGTCGTCTTTTTTTTTTTTTTTACTTTGACAAAATATCTTTTTCATCAAACTCCATGCCCTCTAACAGCAGCATCCTTCCTCTCCCCACTGCCTGCATGGCTGCACTGCGCAGTGCTGCCCAGAGCACAGTGCCTTCCCCAGGTGAGGAGAGGCCCCCAACCCCACTGCCAGCATGGGCTGCACAGCCGAGGGGAAATGAAAGGGCAATTGAGGTGATTCTTCCCAGAGATTCCCCTGTTAAAGCGATCCTGCTTTCCTGCATAGGGCTGGGGAAGGTGCTGTGCTGTGTTGGGTGCTGGTGGCATTGGGGGGCACTTTGCAGCTTTTGGGAGTGGAATGGTGTTCAAAAAATGAATCAAAGTGCCACAAAATGTGCGGGGTTGTATAGGAATCATAGACCCACTGAGGTTGGAAAAGACCATTAAGATCCCCTCATCCAACCACCAACCCATCACCACTGTGCCCACCAAACCAGAGCCCTATGGCCGCCCCGTGGGACGCGATGCTCAGCCCTCCTCCTGCTGGTGGGGCACTTGGAGCTGGAGCAGGGAATGGGTTCTTATTTCCACCCATGATGCAGATTAATTCTGGGAGCACTTTGAGCGTTCTTTACAAATGGCAAATTAATGTTTTAGGATCTTAGTGCTGCTGCTCGCCTCTCCCCCAAAGGCCAGGCCCTGGAAGTCCCATTATGCTCTTGTCAAAGGCTCTATTTCTGGAATTGATGATGTGAATGAAGCCTCAAACTCCGCTCTCATTAATGTCTGCAGCTTATCCCGGTGTCGCTCCTAAGCTGTTGGGATCGGTGGCACTGCAGGGGAAGGCTGTCACATTTCAACCCAGTTCTCACATTGCATTTGCACAAAATTTTCCAGGCTTCATCCGTGCTTTCTGCATGTTTATCCAACAGCCTCCTGTGCCCCATAGGCCGTGCAGAGCACGGTGATGCACAGCGCCGTCCCCGAGCTGAGCAGGCGGCTGCCGCCCTCCAGCAAGGCCCTTTAATTCATTGCTGCAGAATTTAATCCCAACTTCTGCAACCAAATCACAGCAAACATAATGCAATATCTTCCTCTGTTGATTACATTAAGCTGGAGAGCTCTGGCTAATTGAATCTCGGGCTCTTGCCTCTTAATTAGCAAGGGTTGTGCTTAGCCGTGCGTGTGCAGGTGTAGCGCGGGGCTCGAGGGCGTTTGTTGGGGGCAAAGGTTCCATTCCAGCGAGAAATTGACTTCTGGGGATTTACATTCTCATATGCTTTTCATTGCTCTAAATTTTAAGAGGGAAGTGATGGCAAAAGTGCTGGGTATGTCATTGTGGCAGAAATACAGCGCTGCTGCTCATGGTGGGGTTCTAGGCGTGATGGTGGTGGGGTGGGTGACCTGGGTGGAGGCTCAGACACCCCGTGGCATGCAGAGGGCTGCAGTGATTGCGTCGTGTGTGTGGGGTGTGGGTTGTTTGCTGAGCACCGCCTGGAGGGGATGAGAGACCCAGGGATGTGAGATGGTGGCCCAGGGACAAGGGGTGGTGGCCCAGAGCCATTGCCTGGTGCTGTCGGTGCGGGGCTCCCCAGCCCAGGTCCCCGCACGGCTTTGCCCCTTTGCTGCCAGTGCAGCATCCGGCACAGCACCTCCTGCTAATTGAAGTTTGCCTTTGTCAGCCCCTGGGCTCAAACAACGGCGGTACAAAGCCGGAGCCATCAGCATTTTGTGCAGCTCTGGAAATCCCATTAGCAGAAGAAAGAGCTTAACATTTCATTCAGCTGGAAAAAAAAAAAAAAAAGAAGAAAAATAACCCCCAACCTTCTGATCTCTCAGCTGCACATTAACACTTGCCGTGTGCTCCCTTCCCTGTCCCATCCTGGGGACATTAAATCAGGAGATAGTGTTATATTAGGCCAAAATGCACTTGCCAGAGGCAGTGACATGCTGATAAGTGCCTCTGCATTAAAGTTGGGAGACATAAATGCCATCAGCAAATAGAGCCCCGTCACACTCCGCAGGCGGTGTGCTGGGGGTGCCTGTTTGGGGCCGGGGCTGTGTGGCACAGCGGTGGATGTGGGACGGCCCTGGGCACACACGCGGGCTGTGGCCGCAGAGGAGGGCTGAGCTCCCTGCAGGAACGCGGCGTGCCAGAGCTCCATCTGCCCGTCTGGCTCTCCAGGCTCCCGTCCGACCCCGTGGGCTCTGCTGAGCCTCCTCGCTTCCGTGCCGAGCATCTCGTGCAGCCCTTGTCAGACTCACTCATTCTGTCATCTTGCTGTTCGGTGGGTTTTCCATTCCTCCTTTTCTCGAGGGCTGGGCAGAGCTGCGGGTGCTGGCGGATGCGTTTTGAGCCCCCTGAGCTGGGAGTGCTGCCACAGCATCCCGCGTGCCCGCGGCGGTGCCCCTGCAGGGCTATATTTGGGATAAACATCCCGGCCCATCGCCGCAACCTGGCAGTCGGAATTTCTCTTCCAATAGCTTATAAACATTTCTCCAGATTAAACGACCCAGATTGCCAGCACCCGGCGGTGACTCAGCCCTGTGTGATTGTGCAGGAGTTCGCACGGGGTCATCCCGTGGCCTCACCCCTTGGGCAGTGCGGGTGCACGCATCCACAGCTCCTGTGTGCCGAGGTGCCCCTGCTGCACCCAGCCCTGCCCCAGGGCTGGAATTCCCTGCTGGCACACCGTGCCGGCTCTCGGGGCTCTGCGGCTCTGCGCCTTCGCTCCGTGGTTCTACATCTTACTGCCCTTGGTGGTCTGGATGGATGCACGCACTCAGCACACGCTCTGCAGCAATGCAGGTCGTTGTGCCCAGGATAGCAGGGATGCACACAGCCCATCCTGGCAGCACGGCCCCAGCTGTGCTCCGAGTGCAGGGCTGGGCGCTTCTGGGCCCCTCGCCTGTTAGGTTAATGGCTTTGACAGCCTTAATTTGGGCTGGGAATGAGTGGTTCAATCGCTGACTTCAGGGGAACGCCCCTGGGATAAGCTGTGACATAGTTAATAGAAAATTGTAATGTTGTTAAAGTGCTTTTCTGTAAAATGTCAAGAGAAGAAATTAATGGTGTGGTGGTTTTTTTTTTTCCCTAAAAGTTTATATCGTTCTTTTAATTTAATTTTTTAATCCATCATATCAGCAGCGAGCGCTCCTGCCACGCATCTCTGATTTTATAGCATTTCCACATTTGCAGTAGCCTCTGCTGTCACCGTGGGGAAAATAAGCCATCAGTTGGTACTTGGGATCCCAAACAGCAAAGCAGGGGAACGTAGCTGCAGGCAGCATCCTGCTGGGAGCAGGCATTGGTTCAGCACTGACTGCTCCTGTCTGCACATTGCAACAGGTACCAACGGGAGGGCAGGGCAGGAGGGGTAAGGAAACGCATTGGAGAAGGGAAGGCGTGCTTAAGTTTGAAAGTCATTTTATGATAGGCGTATGGCACTTAGTGCTTGTGCTGCCAATGGGGGGGTGGTTTTTGGGGTGTCACAGGTGGCACACAGCACCCTGCGGCGCGTCGCCCTCTGCCATTCCCTATCCATCGCACTGGGGATAAAACCAGGACTGTGGTGCGGAGTGCCGGGCTGAGGGATGCGGGTGCCCCTGGTGCTGTGCTTCCTTGACCGCTCCCCACGCAGCTGGTTTGAGCGTGTGAGCATGCTGGTGATCCTGCTCAACTGCGTGACGCTGGGCATGTTCCACCCCTGCGAAGACATCGCCTGCGACTCCCCGCGCTGCCGCATCCTGCAGGTACTGAGCTGCGCCGTGCGAGCGCTGCGCCTGCAGTCGGGTTTGTGCCGGCTGCCCCTCATCCCCGCTCTGTGTCTTTTGCAGAGCTTTGATGACTTCATCTTTGCCTTCTTCGCCGTGGAGATGATAGTCAAGATGATCGCGCTGGGGATCTTTGGGAAGAAATGCTACCTGGGGGATACGTGGAACCGCCTGGACTTCTTCATTGTCATTGCAGGGTGAGTGTGTCCTTCGGAGCCAGTGGGGCGGGGGCTGCGTGTGGCTGCTGCGTGGGGGTGACTGCCGGGGGCTGGGCGTCACAGCCACTGCCATCATCCATCCCAGCACCCTGCAGTCACTTGGTTGGAGGAGCCAACCAAGCCGCAGCCGCAGTGATCTCCATCCTGCTCGTGTCCCATGCTCGTGGTTTGGGGTCCGTGCAGTCTCCCCAAGGGAGGTCAGCATTTCGTTTGAAGCACAGAGCTGCCTTCCAGTGAGGTTATTTCAGTGAGATGTGCGTGATTGTCCTCTGTTGTTTTTGAGGGAGAGCGACGGAGTTTGCCTGTTGGAGCGGTTTCCTTTCTGAGGCACCTGGTTCGAGTTAGGGCTCCTCCAGCAGCCGAGAACCTCCTGGCTGGGGCTGGGAATCCACATGAAAAGTGCCTGGCCCCCAGCCAGGGCGCTGAGCTGCTTTGGCTCTGGAGCTGCTCACCAGCCCTCCCTCCTCCAAGAGCCCAGAGTTACCTTGGGGAAATTGGCATTTTCCCCTTTTGATAGAGCTGCGGATCAAATTGGCTGCATTTTCCTGGAAAGGGTCCCCAAACCCTGGAATGTTTCCCACCCAGAGGGTGTAGCAGACGTCTGCCTGTGGCCCAGCAGCACCTCGCTGGGAGCTGGGGACGCTGCAGCATAGCCCAGTACCACCAGTACAGGGGTGTCAGGTCTCCCAGTGCCTCCCTGGGAACTCATTGCTGCAGGGGCCATGAGATTTCAGTTTCTTCTGTATCTCTTTTTCTGGCCTCTTTCCTGGTCAGCTCTGCCTCTTGCTAAACGATCAGCCTTTGCTTTGTGTGTGTGGACTGTTCCCATCTGGTCCCTGTCACAAGCAGTTCAGCTGACAGAGGATCGAACGGCTGAAGGCTGCTGATCCCACTGCTCTGCCCCCACCTCCCCCATCCTCCTGCCCCTGCAGTGCTGCTGTCCTGGGGGCTGTCGCTGCCCCCACAGTGCCATGTGCTGGGGATAGCTGTGTGAATGGGAAAAGACACCTTAAGGATAGGACTGAGGGGGTCAAGTCCCACCAACTGAAATCAGGGGGAAGCAGTGCTCAGACCATTCCTTGGGGGAGAACTGGGGAATATTCCAGAGCTGAGCTGTAGAGGAGAGTGTGCACCAGAGTGATGTTCCAGTACCAGGTGCCAGAAACCCTATAAAGAGAGCAGTGTCCTTACTGCTGTCTTACATCAAGGCTTCAGTCCTTTGCCCGTCACAGCCTCCCCTAAATCTCCTCCAGCCCCGAACATCCTGGAAATAAAATGAGGCAAAGCAGCAGACCCACTTCTGCACCCCTGTTGAGCACAACTGGCTTCCAGAAAGAAAGAAAAAATTAAAATGAAAAAGGTGACATTTCATCTTCCTCCTTGAGAGCCCCTGCCCCTGTTGGTGCAGAAGCCCTTCCTTGTATGTTGGCCCAGGAGGTGCTGGGTGAGCAGTGCTGGCCGTGCTGTGCTGTTCAGCACTGTTAAACTGTCCAGAGCCATCTACGAGCTCGTGGAGAATAAATGACTTCTTTGTGACAATGTAATGCAATTAGGACTAATTGTAGAGAGTGTGATGTCTGCAACATATCTCTGTAATTACAGGGAAACTTGCTGCAGATGAGCAGAGCGCTGTGTTATCAAAACTCAGCAAAACGTGATTTTGGCTGTGGGTTATGGGGAAGAGGGGAAAAAATGTGGCACACCACCCTGCTACGTTCTGTTACGGTGAAGGATAGAGTGTGCATTTGCAAAGAGCACCTGAAGGTCACCAGACTCTGACCAGTGTCTGCATTTCTGCATTCCTACTTGTTGGGGCCGTGCTCCATCCATCTCCTTTTGGGGCTGTGCTCCATCACCTCTTGGAGCTGTGCTCCATCCGTGCCCTGTCAGAGCGGCGTGGCTCTCCCCTAATCTGTGCTCCAGCACTGTTTGGTGCAGTGTCTGTTTGTGCTGTACTTGCTGTAATGGGGACGGCCCTCTTAAAGTACTTTCTTCAAGTTAAACACTTGAAATGCTTTGCTTACAGCTGAGAAGAAGCAGGGCTTGGCAGCCTCTTCTGAGCAGACATCTCTTCTTTCTCCCTTTGCTGCCCCAATGCTTCTGGTTGGGTCTGCAGTGCTTCCTACCCACTCTGCCTCGCATTGCCCGCAGTGCAGAGCACAGTGCAGACCCCTGCCTGGCCTGGGCTGCGCCGAGCATAGAGGGGCTCACTCAGGCTGTATGTAAAAGATGTGTTATAGTTAATGCACATCAGTAACAAAACTTACTCTTTTATATTTGTTTTTAATGAAAACAAAAAGAGAGAGCGACCAACGCACAGGACAAGTGAGATGTTTGACCTGTTCCTGTGGAAGCAGTGCTGCGGTCTGGGTGGGTGGCAGTGGCTGCTGTTCTCAGTGAGTTCTCCAGGTGCTCAGAGTGGGATTTTAGTTTTCTCTTCCCATGCTTTGTCCCTGAGAGCGGTTGTTCACAGACTCATGAACTGCCAAAAAGCGATGACAAGAGAAAGGCGTGATGGTGAAGCAGGGGCTGTTTCTCTGTAGGAGCTCCTGTAGAAGCCTGCTAAGGAGACGTGATCAGGTTTTTGCTTTTCCATCCCCACTCTGTTTGCACACCCATCACCGCAGCGCAGCCTCGAGCTGTGCTCTGCCTGCAGCTCTGCAGCTCTGACCTCAGCACCGGCAGGCAGGAGCAGCCTGAGCTGTGGCCATGGCACGGAGCTCCGCTCCATGCTCTGCTGTCTGAAGACAGCCCTCAGCCAGGCTAAAAAGCAGTGCCTGTGCAGGCCAGAAGGAAATGTCACCATGACTTTTTGAAGGTGTGACACCACAAAACATTTCCGTGGTCTTTTCCATGGGTTAATATTACCCACCGATCACTGTGCTTTGTAGACAGCAGCGGCTCTGCCTGCTCTGGGGATGCTGTGCTGTGTGGCTCGGTGTGTGCAGTGGCTGTCACCGCTCTTGTCACCTGGCTCCTGTCGCCAGCTGTGCCACGTCCCAGCTGGGGGGCAGCTCAGAGCCTCTGCATCTCCTCTAAATGAGAGGAAGCCCAGAGCTGTCCCCAGGCAGGACAGCAATGAGTTGTCCCTTGTACACCTTGTCTGTCTCTCTGTCTGCCTGTCCATCTGTCTGTCCTTGGAGCCTTCCCTCTGGGAGCAGCACAGAGGTTCCACTGGCGCCTTAGAGCATCCCACAGCACTCGGGGTGTGTCTGGCTGTGCAGATGCTCTTTGTGTTCTTAGGAAGTCCTAAATGCTCTGCTTTCTCTCTGAGACACTCTGGCATCTGAGGCTCAGCACTTGGTACAGAGCTGTTCTATTTAGAACCAAGCATTTTTCTGCACCTCGAGTTTCCCCGGGCACTTGTCTGCGTGGAGCTGTGACTGTGCCTTCACGTTGGAGCAGAGATGACATTTGGGCTTTCTGCATGGCGGATTTTCCGTGCGGGGATGTGATGTGCTGGTAACTGCACCTGTCACCTTGCAGCACAGTGACATCCCCACGTCCCCTCCCTGGGTACCGGGACAGAGTTGGTCCCTCCTGTGCATGGCTGTGCCCTGTGGGCAGGGGATCCTGTGCCGTGGGGCTGGGGGAGCTGCGGCTGTCTGGCTGTGTGAGATGCAGGAGGAGAGGTGTGCTGCATCGATGCATGGGATGGGCAAACGCCGGCCACAAAGAGCAGCTGCAGCAGCAACTGAGAAGGCAGTGCTGTGTAAGAGCTAATGTGTAGGCTCATCTGAATACTCTGAGGCTGAAATGAGGCTCTGACCATCAAAACTGGAGGGAGGGAACCACCCAACCATCTTGGAACTGGAACTTGATAATTCTGGGATTGAATGAGTGTCCTGTGACTGCCTGGGCAACAGGAGCCCATGTGCTGCTTTGTGCACCTGGCTGTGCAGTGTACAGTTCCTGGGGGGCTCTGCGGGATCCCGGTGCTGTGGGGATGGGGCACGGCTGGATGTGAGATGGGGATGGTGTGCAGCAGCAGGCAGCCCTGGGCAGAGTCATGCTGTGGTGTCCTGAGCTGTGCACTGCAGCAAGAAAGCAGTTGTTCTAAGCTCTGCAGTGTGCAGGGACTTTCTGCCCTGGACCCTGTGCAAAAGCAAGCAGAGCGGGAGGGAGAGGAGAGCACTGCACCTGTGTGAGCTGGTGTGGGGCGTCCTCATTCACTGACTTTATTCTGATACGCAGATAACCCTTAATTAATTCCTCTGGCAAACTGTCCTGATGGGAGCAAAGCCCTCAGTGAGGAGCAGGCACACAGTGCTGGGGTGATGATGTTTGTGCTGCTCCCTCTGACCGCCCCGCTGTGCTTTGCAGGATGTTGGAGTACTCACTGGACCTGCAGAACGTCAGCTTCTCGGCGGTGCGCACTGTCCGCGTCCTGCGGCCGCTCCGGGCCATTAACAGAGTCCCCAGTAAGTTGGGCTTTGCTCCTCCGGGGATGCAAACTCTTTGTATCTACACCCTGTAGGTGGAAGAACAGACACGGATGCTTCCAATCTTCTGCCGTAGCTGTACCAGCTCCCTGCGGTTCCCCTCCAACTGGGGATGGTCTGTGGTTCTAAATGCTGGCCCTCTAGAAATGATCTCTTTTCTGACCTAAGAATGGCGCTGTTGGAGCTGGGGGTGTTCCTGTTCATTGCAGGGAGTGGAACCACGTGGCTTTAGGGGTCCTTCCAACTCAGGCCATCCTATGACTCTATGAACTGAGGTTCCCTGAACTCACCCAGTGCAGATGAGAACAGATTGGTGTCACTTCTGTCCCTCCATACTGGAGGTGCCAGGACTCCATTTGTTTCTCCGGCCCTGACTCGTATGCTTAACCCAGATTCTGCTGCTCTTTCAATCAGTGCAGCACCTCCAGACTCCTGATAGCAGTGTTTTCTCCCAGCTGCTGAGCTGATGGATGGCTGAATCATCTGCTGCTGTCTAACTGGGGATGTAATGCACTTAATGCATTTTCACATCTCAGGTAGTCTGTCTTGGCTTCTGTGCTGCTGCGAAGGGATAGAAGTGTAAGGTGGGAGCAGGGAGAAGAGAGTCTTATATGATGATAAATGCAGTAACCACGGAAAGTCGTTTCAGTTAATTAGGAGCTGTGTGTGGTGGTTGCTCCCCAGTAGAGGAGGAGAAGGAAAACGTGACAGAGGAGATGACAGCAGCAGGAAGCGAGGAAAAAGTCTGAAGTATCAAAGCAAAGGGTGCAACAGTGAGACTTTCCTTAAATGAGAATCAATATTAGTGAGTGAGAGAATGCAGAAGATGGGAAAGAAGGAGAGAGATGAGCTGAATATTACAGAGATGTCAGATGAAATCAATTTTTTTGTGTGTAAATGTCAAGTCGGAGTCACCATCAATTTGTCTTTGTTACAGAACTGGCTGTTCCTGAACTTGTGAGAATAAACTGCTCGTGTTTTGAGGAAGAGAGAGGATTTAGGGTGGATGAGGGGAATTAGGAAGGGAATTTTAATATATCCCAAATGTGGAAAGAAATACAGATGAGCAAGGGCATGTCAGAGTGGGATCTGGGGAAATTGGCAATTGGCAGAAAACTTTCAGAGGGAAAGAGAACTTGGGGTGGGAGATGAAGGGTAGGATAGAGAGGGGGAGGTAGGTTGGATGCCCAGGAGTGGGGCTGGGATGGGTGGGGACTGCGGTGGGGTTTGGGACTGCAGGGACTGCGGTGGGGAGGGTGAGGAGAGTGGGGGCCGTGCGTGGAACAGCGAATGTCCCTCTTGGATGACCGCTCCCTTCACCTCAGGTATGCGCATCCTGGTGACGCTGCTGCTGGACACGCTGCCCATGCTGGGGAACGTCCTCCTGCTCTGCTTCTTCGTCTTCTTCATCTTCGGCATCGTGGGAGTCCAGCTGTGGGCAGGATTGCTCAGGAACCGCTGCTTCCTCCCTGAGAACTTCAGCATGTGAGTCTGTGGCATCCTCCGGCCGCGCTCCTCCATCATAAGCCCATCTTTCTGCGTGCTCCCCGCTCCCAAATGCCACCACGTCCCCAGCACAGCTTGCTGTGACAATTTGCCATTTGTGTCTTGCTGAGCTGCCCTTAGCCCTTGGCCGGTGCTGGGGAAGCTGTGTGATTGATAAGAGCCTCTGAAGAACTGCCAGGACAAAGAGCTCAGGCTTTGTAAATGCAGCATATCATTAACTGTGACCTTTTCTGCATTTGTCAAGGCGCTGAGATCTGAACCCTGCTCAGCAGCTGGTGGTGTTTGTTGGTGTGGCATTTGCTGTCTCACCAACACCCTCGGGGAGGCTGATGGAGCTGGTCATACATTTAGCAAAGCTGCTCAGTGTGAGTGCATTGCTCCAAGCGTACTCCTCAGAGCTGACCCTATAAGCCCCAAATATCTGCCTTGCACACAGCAGGGTCACGATGGGCTCTCCAGTCTGAAGATTGGCATGGGGCACCTCTTATCCTCTCCATGCATCCCCGAAATGAGCAGCAGCCCTCTTGTAGGCTGTGCCCTCCCAGGACAGCCAAGAGAGTCATGCCCTGCAAAGCAAACAGCAGCAAAGCTGAGGGGCTCTGCTCTTTGAATAACTACAACTAAGTGATGGGTTTGGGTGCTGGTTAATTGAGCCAGAATTCCAGGGGTTTAGATGAGCTTTGAACAGCATTAAAGGCAATTCTGCAGGAATTAACTGGGCTGAACCAGGCTTCAAAGTGTCTTTGCAAGCTTTAGTGGGAGTCCTGGTGGCATTAAGGAGATGGATCCTTGCTTGGCACACAGCGAGCTTTGGGCCAGCTGTGGGTTATTCCATATCCCCAAAGGGTTTTTGCCATGCTTGCTATGGTGAGGCCACCCTTGGAGGGAATTTACAGCTTATCTATGTCTGAACAGGCACTGGGAAGGCACTGCTTTAGGAACCTGGGAGGTCCTTGCACGTGGACGTCCTCACGCTGTGCTCAGCATCTCCAGGAGGATGGGAGATACAGGAGCTTATGGTGACTGATTCCCATCTTACTGCAGCAGGGATGTTTCAGAGCAGCCCTGCTGGGCTAAGCCCTGCTCTCAGTGCCCCCAGTCACAGCATAGCACTTCCAGATGTAAGGAATCTCCTCAACACCAACAGCCCTTTAAAATGCAGAATAAAAGACATTAGAATTTATAGCTGCTACAGCTGTCACCATACCAGGCTGCCTGCACCCGCTGTACAAATCTCAGCCCTTCTGTCCACTTGCAGCCCCTACGCAGTGGATCTGGAGCGGTACTACCAGACTGAGAATGAAGATGAGAACCCCTTCATCTGCTCCCAACCCCGTGAGAACGGGATGCGCTACTGCCGGAGCATCCCGACGCGCAGGGAGGAGGGCCTGGAGTGCACCCTGGATTACTACTCCTACAACGACACCACCAACACGTCCTGCGTCAACTGGAACCAGTATTACACCAACTGCTCTGCCGGGGAGCACAACCCCTTCAAGGGCGCTATCAACTTCGATAACATCGGCTATGCCTGGATTGCAATATTTCAGGTGAGCTGGCATGGAAACCGTCCTGTGGGGCAGGGGTTGTTCCTCCCCGTGTGTTATGGGGCTGTGTGACCACACTCCTAAGGCTGTACATGTATAGTAGTAGTGTAAAGGTGCTGGAAATGGCAGGGAGACAACATGGTGCTTGCTCAGATGCCTCCGTGGATAAAAGCTTGGTCCTAGCACTCTGGGTGCAGGAGGACTGTGCTCTTCCTTCTGCATGTGCTGTAGTTGTCTTTAAGTCCATCTGGAAAAGAAGGGCTGAACGCAGCCCTTGCTGTGGGCAGAGGCAACATGGGATTGGTCTGAATGGGAGCGGTTTTTGGTTCCTCAGTGTCTGGCACTGCTCTGGGACCAGCTGTGGGTGTAAGAACGGACCCAGCCAGCAGTGACATTGCCTGCTCCCTGGGGGTTGTGATGCAGCTGTGATGGGTTTGTCTTCCCCCTCTGCCTCACCAGGTCATCACACTGGAGGGCTGGGTGGACATCATGTACTTCGTCATGGATGCACACTCCTTCTACAACTTCATCTACTTCATCCTGCTGATCATCGTGAGTGGCCTCGTGGGGACGTGCAGTTGTGGAGTGGCCCGGAGGGGCAGGCAGAGAGCACAGTGAATGTAAAGGCTGCTCTCACGTGGGAGAGGTAGAAAACATGAAGGAAAGATGCTCTTAAACGCTGGTAGATACACTCGCTGTTGCTTCTAACACCTCTCTCTTTGTCCTCCACGCTCCCAACCCCATAGTTGCCTCCTTGAATTTGAGTTTAAAATTGGCAAATTTACCCCATCATGTTTTCAGATCTGGAAGGGGGGAGGTTGGCCAGGAGCTCCCCCATATCCAAGGAGCCCAACAGGCGCAGAAGGGACATTTAGGGGAGGCAGCCCCAAACATCAGAGCGCAGGCTGAGAAAGGAGGAAAGGATTCCTGCCCACAGCCCACCCACAGCACAGCGTCACAGCACCCATCCACAGCAGAGCTGCAGAGAGCTCTGTGGGGTGGGCTCTGTGATGGGCTGCGAGCAGCAATGTCTGCTGTGATGGGGAGCTCGTTGTCTAGACTCCCTTCAGCATCAGGAGAGAAAAATAGGTGCTTTAGAAGGTGATTCATCTGCTCCTAAGGTAGACATTCAAAATAAATTAGATGCATTGCAGACTTGATGCGCCTATTTCTCTCCCAACTCTAAAGGATCATTAGGTGCCTCACTCAGATGTGGCTCAGATAAGTGAGATGAGTCCCCCTCTTCCTGTCTAATTGGCCCAAATTCAGCAAAATAGCTGAGCGTCCTCCATTGGGCCACTGGAGGGGTTTCTGATCCTCATCAAACCCTGATGAGAAGGCTGTTTTGTCTGCAGTGCTTTTTGTGGTTCATCTGTTAGCTTCCCCCCACAATGAAGGAACCCCTCACTCTCTGCATTCCCATAAGGATGGAGAAGAAGGGAAGCATTGCTTTCCTGGGTGCTGTGCAGTAATGTTGGTGGTGTGTGAGAACCCATTAGTACACCAGAAATTCTTTGTGGTCCAGGCTGGCATCTGCAGAAAGCAGGACCTGGTGGAGCCAGCCTGGAACTGGGATCTCCGAGCTGTGGATGCAGCCTGCTGATGCCCTTGCGTAACAGTAACCTGCAAATCCCGTTAGCAGGGGAAAGGGATCTGCTCACAAGCTACCCACACGCTGCCAGAAAAAACGCTCCTATCAGGAAGGCTCAGCACATTCATCGTAATGCCACTAATTGCAATAATTACAACTGCCGTCTGCGGAGAGAGAAAAACACCCTCTTAAAAGAGCAAAAGCTTTTTGTCAAAATAATCTCCTCCTGCCTTTGATCTCTGACGTCCTCCGCGGAGCCCTGGCGTGGGAGTCCTGGGGGTCGGGGCCCTTACTGGGGTCCGTGTTCCTGGTGACGTGGGACCAGGCAGGGCTGTGGGGTGGGAGTGGCTGGGGCTGATGGCTCCCATCCCCGTAGGTGGGCTCCTTCTTCATGATCAACCTCTGCCTGGTGGTGATAGCCACGCAGTTCTCCGAGACGAAGCAGCGCGAGAGCCAGCTGATGAAGGAGCAGCGGGTGCGCTACCTGTCCAACGCCAGCACCCTGGCCAGCTTCTCGGAGCCGGGCAGCTGCTACGACGAGCTCCTCAAGTACCTGGTGTACATCGCCCGGAAGGGCAGCAAGCAGCTGGTGGAGCTCTACCGGGTGGCGGGCGTGAGGATGGGCTTCCTGACCAGCCCTGCCAGCAAAACGGGGGCTGAGCGGCACGCTGGCAAGCGTCGCTCCAGGAGGAGGTCCTCGGTGCACCACCTCATCCACCACCACCACCACCACCACCACCACTACCACCTGGGCAATGGCAACTTGCGGGCGCCCCGCGCCAGCCCGGAGATCAGCGACGTGGACACCGGCTCTCTCCACAACGGGACCAACCGGCTGATGCTTCCCCCATCGGCCCCAAGCCCCCACATGGCTCCCACCGCCACGGCCGGCGGCACTGAATCCGTCCATAGCATCTACCACGCCGACTGCCACGTGGAGCCGGTGCGCTGCCGGGCGGCCCTCCCGCAGCCGAGCCCAGAGGACGTCCCCAGGAGCGTGGTGATGGGCAGCAAGGTGTACCCCACAGTGCACCCCAGCACCTCCCATGAGGTGCGGAAGGAGAAGAGCCTGGGGGAGGCAGCAGTGGGGGCAGGCAGCAGCACGCTGAGTGGGCTGAACATCCCACCTGGGCCCTACAGCACCATGCACAAGCTGCTGGAGACGCAGAGCACGGGTGAGTGCGGGGCTGGGGTCAGCACGGGGCTGTGGAGTGGAAATGGGAGCTCCCTCCTCATTCTTTTCTCTTTCCATTATACCTTTCCAGGATTCCTTTCAGTCCACGTTACAGATAAAGGTGATGGATTTCGAGGTGAGGCCAATGGGAATCTTCCAACCAACCCAATGCATCTCAGCCCAAACCAGGAGGGAGGTTTCAACCAATCCAAGGGAAATGATTGTTTGTAATGAACCCATTCTCTTTCTCTTCCCGATCTCCTCCCAGTATGCTTTTTTTTCTGTGATCAGAGGGTCCACTCCCCCCATCCCTGTGTTCCCCACATCCTTTCACTCCCCGGCTCAGGAAGACTGAAGTGGCATCAGGAATGACGTGCAGCTTTCCCAAAGCCGGGGTTTGACACCTTTCCTGCGAGGTGCTCATTCCCCTTCCACATTTTGAGCTTTCTGAGCATGAGCCAACTGAGCTCAAATGCATTTAGCCTCCAAGAAGTGTTTCCAGGCCAGGCTTTCTCAGGCAGCTGATGCCATCCCTCCCCCACCACTTGAACCTTGACCTTGAACACTGCAGGATTTGGCCTTTCCAGGCAGGGATGTGTGCAGGGAAGGGCACATCTCATCATCCCAGAGCCCATCCCCAGATCTGGGCTCTGAGCTGCTGCAGCTCTGTGTTTGCGTTGGTGCTGCTGCATAGATTTCTGCCGCTGGTGCTGGGGAGAAAGTCCCACTGCTGCTGTCATCCCAGGAGCCACCTGGCAGCTGGGAGCGGGGGGAAGCTGGGGATTTTGGAGCATCTGCAACCAGTGGGAGCAGGAAGGGAGTTCTGCTGGTGGCGAAGCTTCTGCTAATTGCAGCACCCTGTGCCAGGGCTGTGGGAGATGATTGCTTTCTACAGGCTGTCATGGCCCGTTGTATTGAGCGCAACATTTTGCTGTCATTGTGCATAGGGAATTGCTCCTGTCCTGGCTAATGGGCTGCCCTCCCCTAAATGTTGTCATTGCAGGTCCCTGCCCAAGCTCCTGCAAGATTGCCAGCCCCTGCACCAAGCTGGACGGCAGCTCCCGCAGCGCCGAGAGCTGCCCCTACTGCCTGAAGGCATTGGCCAACGAGGCCGAGCAGACAGACAACGAGACGGACTCGGACAGCGAGGGTGTGTACGAGTTCACACAGGATGCCCACTACAGCGACCAGCGGGACCCGCAGCGCGGCCGAGCCTGGGCCAGGAGCAGCAGCCGCGTGCTGGCCTTCTGGCGTGTGGTGTGCGAGACCTTCCGGAAAATCGTGGACAGCAAATATTTTGGCCGTGGAATCATGGTGGCCATCCTCATCAACACGCTCAGCATGGGCATCGAGTACCACGAGCAGGTGAGCTGGCTGCCCTCTCTCCATCCTGCATCCTTCATCCCACATCCCAGGGATGCTCAGCTCCGTGCTGGCACCACAGCCACGTGGCAGCTGGGGTCAGTGCAGCCGCAGACAGAAGGTCTATTGAATTTACCATCCTGGGGGAGGAAGTGACAAATGCCTTCAGCTCCCTGGTGAGCGCTCCAGCAGCAGTGTGATGAATCCAAAATAGACTCATCGCAGGCTGTTCCTCCACTCTATTAGTGCAGTCCTTGCAGGCAAGAGGCGGCTGTGCTCCTGCCGAGCTTTTCCCTGTATATTGTCATTAAGAAAAGAGGTTGCCACTCTCGAGTGTCTCCATAGGGATGACAAGCTCTTCTCCCAGAAGGCACCATCTGGTCCCTTTTGTGGCTGCGTGCGTGGATGCATTGCTCCCCTACCCTGAGCCCCATGGACGCTGCACGGGATGGGTTGGGCTGGTTCCTGCAGGTGTGTGCTTTGTGCTGGGGAAGACATGACCCTGCGTGCTGAGATGCTGCACAACCCTGCTGTATGCATGTTGGTGCTCGGCCCCAGCAGCTGCGTGGAGTGCTGGGGCTGTCCCTGCCACGGCCATCCCTGTTCCATGCCAGCCCCTTGTGGGAACCTCCTGCATCTTGAGTCACTGTTGTTTATTCCCCATTCTGGCACATTTTGCACTTGCTGCATGTGGAGACGTTCCCTCCCTGCCCACAGTGCTGGCGGTGGTGGCTGCAGAGTGGCTCCAAATCCTGTGTCCTCCTATGGCATTAATGCCTCAGTGCCTGAATGCCAGGGAGACTCGGATGTGCTAAATGTGTCCCTTCAAACCAGCGCCTTCCCCGTGACGTCCTAATGCGGTCTGGCTGGCTAACCTTTGTTTTCAGCATGCATTAGTAGCTGTGCTCCTGTAGTCCCACAGGTAGGGAGCCACTCATCATAGGGATGCTTACAGAGCTGCAGGGGAACCTTCCATGAGTCCATGTTTGTTTAGTAATAAAGCTCATCTCCTGGGAACCTGCAGGGAGACGGCTTACAGAAACTGATAACAGTTTGTATTTCTCCTCTGAGTGCACGGAAAGTGACAGCAGGTCTGCTGTGCTGGGATTGTCCAGGGGTGGGAGGCCTACGCTGGTCTCCCATTCAGCATTTCAGGAAGTGCTGCTGCAGGCTACTGCTGTGCTCATGGGAACTGTCCTGCTGGGATGGAGGGATGGTTGGGATGGGATGGATGGATGGATAGGTGGATAGGTGGATGGGATGAGTGCTGGGAGGGAGGGATGGAGGGATGGAGGGATGGATGGATGGATGGAGTGGTTAGGCTCCTGGCTTGTTTCCTCAAGGGCAACAATGCAAGTCCTTAATTCTTTGTCTTGGAGAAAATCCTGGCCTTTGCCCCACCAGCAGTGTGCCCTGGCAGGCAGGTAGATGGCAAAAGGCAGATTTTTGTGGTGGTTTTCTGGTAACAAGGTGAAGGAAGCGGATGTGCGTGGGGGACTCCAGATCCTGTGGGTGGTTGCTTTCTCTGACAGTATTTTGAAGCTACTACTGTTCCAGATTCCTTTCTCCCAGGCACTCAGTGCATAGCTGAGCCTGTTTTTATTAGTTCATCTGCTTAGAGTGGCGGCAGAGAACAGAGAGGTGTTTTTCTGTTAACTTGAGAAGCTTATAGTCTGCAGTTTCATAATCTGACAGTTATGAGAGCAGGAATTGGAGTGGAGAAATGCTGGGCCAGGCCTTTCTGCAGGGATGATAAACACTGAAACATGAGATTTTTCTTTTATAAGAGACCTTCCTAAATGTGCAGGTATCAGCCTCACCAAATTTATCTTCATTGGGTGATTGTTTGCAGAGAGGTGATGGGGCTCAAAGAGTACTTGACTCTGTGAATTTCTATATTAATCTCTCTGCTTATTTAATGAATATTTACCTTTTCTGTTTTGTTTTGTTTGTTTTTTACGCAAGGCAGCCCTGGGCACACCAAGCTATGTTAGGATAAATTCTTTCAGGACATGTTTTATGATGCCCTGTCAGAAGCATTGTGTTGCTCACCAGCACGGTGCTGGAGGGGAGAGGATACTCCAGCAGCTGTGTGCTGCGGGAGGGGTGGGCTGGGCTGGGCTGGGCTGGTTCTGTGCGATCCCAGCAGCGTTGGGTAGGATCCAGCAGTTCTGGGACCAGCAGAACATCCAGGTGCTGGTCAGCTGAGGTCCCCACCACAGCTGAGAAGTGAGCTCCTCTGGAGGCTTTGCATCCCGCCTTCGCATCCAGAAGGGCCCTGCTTCGTCCTGGAAGGCTGGGACAGTCCTCACAGCCTCTTGTGTAGCTGACACCACCCAAGGGCGGTCAGCTGGGATATTTAGGAAGACGGCAACAGCCTGAAAGCTTACTGAAATCAATGGGAACCAGGGGGGGTTGAAAACACTGCTCCCCACCTGCTCCTGCTGTTTGCTTGTATTCTTCCATCAGTCATCCAGGCCAAGATGAGCACCCTGGTCCTCATCCCAAGGGCTTCACCCCCCGCTCCCCCCCTCAGAACCTCCAATCCGAAACCTCACCTCTATAGATCACCCTACAATCACATCATTACAACAGCCATTTCCCCAGGAGCTGGGTTTCCTCCAAGCTCCTTCAGACACCGCTGGGCAGCACCCTGGCTGACTGCATCACCCGGCGTGGGGCCGCTTCTACGTGGCTCCGGTGTGTGTGTGAGCACGGGGCGCAGCTGGCAGGGCGCAGTGATGTGGGCAGGCTGTGCAGCCCCCCTGCCGCCGGCTGTGCCTCTGCCATGGGAGGAAGGCAGAGGTCCGAGCAGTGGCAGCGCTCAGCGCATCGCTGCTGCTGGGCAGCGGTGTGAAATTTTCCATCAGGGAACGACAAGCAGATTGCTGTGGATTATTGATGTGACTGCTAAAGAGCTTGTTTTTCTACGGAGCTGAAGCGAAATGCAGGTAGAAACTGTTAGCTTTGGGTAGGGAAATAGAAAGGTGATTTCAGGGTAGGCTCTGGGGGATTTTAAGTACGCTGCTGAACCAATCGACTGATTCGCCTTAGGGAAGCTGAGTCTCCGCAGCGATGCCGGGGCTTTGCAAAAGCTTGTTCTGCCATAGTGCAGGAGCAAAATGTGCTGCTCAACCAGAGGGCTCCTGCGCTGCGCTCCCCCCGGCCCTGGCGCTGAGCCAGGCTGCACTCCACAATGTGCTGCTTTCCTTTCTGTCAAACCCTTCCTTGGAGTGAAATGCAGAGGCTTAGCGCAAGGCGTGATGCTGAACTTCTCAGCAGGGGAAAGAATTCGGTGAGAGCTTCCTGAAGGAAGGGCTCGGGGTTTTGTTTTTGTTTTTAAAATCTGGTTCGCATTGAGCTGCCTGGCTGTTCCGATTTTCCTTGTCTGAACTCGCTCGGTATGAACTATTCCCCACATCCCCGTTTGTTTGAATAGCACTTGAATTTCAGCCGCTGTCTCTGCGGCGTTTCACCATTGTAATGAGAAGGAGCCATGGTCCCAACCCAAGGGTCCTCCCCGGCCTCTCCAAAGCCGCAGAGGCCACAGCGTGGGGGTTTGGATCTCGGCAGAACCAAACCTGTGGGCTGTGGGAAGGAAGAGGAAATCATTCAGACCTCTACAGACACTTTTTTTTTCCAATTTTTGAAAGCACATTGGAGGGGTGACAAGGGGGAATGGCTTTTTGGGACAGCATCCAGGGAGAGCAGCTCACGGCAGCGGGAGGCCGTTCTCAGAGGGAGGAGGAAGGGGCCCTGCTGAGGCTTTGAGCTCACACCAACATCTAATGCTAAAGTCCTGCTGTGTCCTGCTGCAGGTGCTGGGTGTGTGATGGCACAGCCAATGCAGTCTTGTCACTGGTACCACTGCCATCTGGGTTGGGGTTCAGAAGCACTTTGATCCCAGGAGGGCAGGCACTGGGTTGTTGGCCAGGGAGGTGGTGGAGTCACCATCCCTGGAGGTGTTCAAAACAGTAGATATCTCACTGAGAGATGTGGCTCAGTGGTATGGTGGTGATGGGCTGATGGTTGGACCAGATGATCTTAGTGGTCTTTTCCTACCTTTAAGATTCTATGATTCTATATGGAGCTGATACTTGGCCATCCCTGTGTGCCAAAATGGGGTCTTTCCAAGTGCTCCTCTGCCTCCAGAAGAGGTGGTGGAGGATCACGTGAGCTGCAGCCTGTGGGGTGCCCACTGCTCAGGTCACCCTGGACTGGAGGTGAGGTGGCACTTGGGTTGTGTCCCACTGGTGCAGGGATTCAGAGACCAGTCCTGTCCCCAGGCAGCATCCATCCCGGTGGGCAGTGCCAGCTCTGCACCAGTGCCAGGCAGTGCTGGGCTCCCTTAACCCTGTGTCAGCAGCCTATCCTGACCTTTTCACTATGAAGCTTACAATTTGATGATTCCCCCTATAAATCTGATTTGTTAGGTTTTGATCCAGGAAGACACTTATGCATGGGCATGTGTCCCTCTGTACCAAGGAGATTCCCTTCCCTGGACAGTGCATGCTCTTCCCAGGAGCCCATGAAGTCCTGCGTTCGTGCATGTCTTTGCTTCCTAGAGACAGCTCTGCTTCCACTTTGGTGCACGTCCCATGTCTCTATTTAACTCCGTGACACATCTCCCAGCCCCGTGCCAGCTCATCCCAGCCAGGCTCCAAGCTCTGGCAGCGGCTGAGGCTTCCCCTCCCTCAGAAGCTGCTGGCTCAAAGCAGGCAACATCCCAATTTCCCAGCACTGCAGCTGCGCGGGGCACTCAGCCTGCAGGAAAACAAGGTGCCCTATAGATTTGCACGTGTTGTATTCAATTAGCTCTTGCTTCAGCAGAAATTACTCTTATTAACGGTTTGTTGTTGGAGACCAGGGGAGTCAAATCGATGCTAATGGACGGCACTGGAGCTGTTAATCACTGGGATGGCTGCCTTCAGAACCGGCTGGCTGATTGTCACTGGGGGTGATTCCTTCTCTGGACCTCAGGGGTTCTTCCACTCCTCAGCAAC